CTTTTCGAACAATTTTTGTGAATAACAATATATTTATCGTCAAAATATTTTTCAGGATCCACAAAAAAATCCTAAAAAGATATTTTGATGATTAATTTTTACGATAAATTTATAGTTAGTCGCTAAAATTGTGCAAATGGATTTAGTTTTAGTAAATCAAACAAAATTCATATTTTGAACAATTTTAATGAAGTACAATAAAAAATTATACTAAAAAGGAATCATCAAAATATTTATTCATGATTTTTTTTATGGATCATATTACTTTTTATTCGGATGGTTCATTTTTTGTTTCATTAGAAAATATACGGTTGAAAATGTTCTTACATTCCTATTAAAAATTTTGTTCGTACTGTGTATATAAAGGACGCATTTTACATTTATTTCGGATGGTACAAATATTTTGTAATCATGATATTTGGTGGCACAAGTTAAAGAGAAACCACACAAAATGTCCGTTCAGACAAATTTGGTATATGTATCTTCAATTCAACAAGTTTATGAAAATTGCATAATACATTAATTTAGACTTAAACCTTTTAAAGACATCTCCAACACAATACCAAATTCTAATTTTTTGCACGAAATTTGGTGTCAAACTTTCATTTCTATATAATGTGTATCCTATCCAAACATGAAATCCATGTTGTGTTAACAATAATTCATAATGTCTATCCTATCCAACGTCATTTTGTACATAAAAATGATATTGATTAATAGTAACAACATCAAACATGGTGTTATAATATTCATTTATACCAAATCTATCAAACTTATTGTTAAACTTTCATTTCTATATAATTTGGTGCTAAAGCTTTGTATTTAGGTATTTTTAATTTATTATTTGTATGATAGATTCTATAGCTAATATGTGTTACTTGTGATGATATATTACTTTTAAATTGATATTAGTCTATGATTCATTAAATTCTCGAACATTTTAAAATTTTAGTATTTTGGTCTCTAAAATTTTAATAAAATAGTTATTTTAATAATACGATAACTAATTATAAAAAGAATAATTTATATTAGTTATTATTATCTAATAGTGAAAATAGGGGTCAATTTATATTAAAGATATTAAATTACAAATGACGAAAAACTTTTCGAATAATAAGTTGAGATGCTAGTGTTTATGGATAGCGAAACTAATAATTTATATGTCAAATTTATTAAAGAAAATGATAAATAAGATTTGTTTTGAAAGTTTATATTAACTTGCAAACAAAATCACAACACAATCTACAATGCAGGAGCATGTACTTTTTTCTGCTACCACAAGAAAAAAGAAACAAGACCCCTTGAAGAAACTCTTCCCATCATTAGTGCTTGTTTCTTTCACCTCTGTGACAGCACTACCACCCCCACTTTTATTTCTTTGAACCAACTATCAAAACAAACCCACCATCTTTCTCCAATTACAACACGGGTTAATATTGTAAAAACAACATATTGACATAATTTTTGGATTACTATTTTACAATTATACACAACAGACAATAAACCCTTCCCTGGTTTTTTATTATACCATTATTATCGATTTCAATTGGGTAAACTGATTTTCTATCTAGATGTCAGTATACACGACAAAACTTCGAATTATATCCAATGTGACAACTTAATATATAAGAACATTTAGATGAATTTATGAGTATTAATTTTTTTGTCATTTTTCTGTTCATCTGAATGTTTTTCCAGGGATCGTACTAGGTTGTAGGGATGCTTTGAGAATCGATTTTGGTTTTTCATTTGAGTAATCGATTTCTTTTAGAGGATGTGTGCAAGAACACAAAGTAATCAAAACGCAAAATTTATTCAAATGTTTTTAGATTTTTTTAAATACTTGAAGATTTTTTTACAATATCAATTACAGTTTTTTGAAATTAATAATGACATGATCTTTTTAATTTCATATAGTCGGGTTTTTTTTTTTGACATTTGAAAACATCAATTTAACCAAAATCAAAATATATGATGGATCCTGGTACACGTAAATATTTACATACCAACCATGCTTCAGTGACTTGTACTTTATGCAATGAGAGCGGTATTTCATGGTAAGAAGCTCATCCTTAAAAAGAAGAGAATCCTTTCTAAAGATAGATATACAGATTATGTTCCATTCCAGCGTCCAATAGGATCAAAAAGAAAGCATCTAAACTTTATGTTACCAAAAGAAACTACAAGTCTCCAGATATAACATAGCATTTTACATGTTTAATAGGACCACCAACGAAATTCACATCTATATATGCATATGTTAATTCATTCCTGTTTCTAAAGGTCCCAAAAAGCATTAAATTATATATAACAAGGTACACAAAAGCTCAATTATTTGTTTCAACAGTCACACCTAAAAACACCAAAAGTAAATTCACATTCATGACTCCACTGACACTTGCCCTACTCATTTCATTTGGTGGTCTCTCATTAAAGTTACAAATTTTCTTGGTACAATTTTTTTTAACCATACTCTTTTGGCCCCACTTTCAGGTTTCCATTTCTGCATAACTGACATGAAAGATCAAGGGGGAAATGAAATGAAATGAAATGTATGTAATAAATATATCATTACATAAGTTAGAGATTTTTTTTTTTTTTTGTATAATTTTATTTTATTATGTGCTGCTTGTACTAATCCTTCTGGAAAAAAGATAACACCAGATCCGTATGTACAGAGAAAAGTTGCGTCTCCACAAAAAGCTGCAACAAACAAACAAATAAATAAATAAATAAATGATAGTGAGCTTATATACCTTCTTTTCTTAATAACGTTAACAAGATTTTTTATATAAAAATGCACCTTCATAAAAGGTCGATCACGACTAGGAAACGAGTCGATGAAACTTTCTTTTAAAAGCAAAGATACCTGGGGTCAAATTATTTACTTTTTAGATATATGTATATATAGAAAATAATGTGTGAGTAAAAAAATAAATAAATACCTTATCATCATTGGATTGAACATTTGTAATTGTGTGAGAACGTAAGTTAGAGCAAAGAGAATCTAAGTGAGAGCGTAATACTGTTAGGAATCCCTTTGCGGCTTCCACCTGTGTATTCATTTCAATTTTGTAAATAAATAAGTTTCATCAATATTTATATAACCCAAATCTTAAAAAGAAGTAATAAAATTTATATAAAAAAAAAAAGGTAATACCTGCACATTAGTGCAATCATGAACAGGTCTTCTTTTCCCTAAATAATTTTCACCCACAAGCTGAGCATGGTATGGACTTAAGGCTGCAAATAACTCCTTGTGTCTAGGTAAATTTGGTACTGAAACTGATTTAACCTAATTAACCCAATAACAAAATAACAGATTTATATAAATATATATGAGAATGTTTTCAATTTTTATGTGAAAAAGGTAAATATGAGTGAAACAAACACTTACCTGATTCTTGTTTGCATCAACAAAAACAACATTTGCTAACTTGGATTGTACTTCAGCAGTTTTGTGCTTCACACCAACCTGTTTAACATATTATACAACACTAGTATTCTTTTTACAAATAAATAAATAAAAAAAATAACAAAAACTAACTTACAACAAATGGAACAGGTGCATCCAAGAAGTCCACCATGTCATTTGGCAAGACCTGAAGTAAAATGGATAAAGTTTTATTAAAACCAAAAAGTTAAAACATGATTAATACTTGTATAAACATATGATAAAGCTATTACCGGCATTAAAAAACTTTGCCAGTGGTAGGGACGAATGAGGGGTATAATTGACAAAACTAAAGCAGATAATATTCCCTGTAGATTATTCAACAGATTCAAGTAAGAAAAACTTAAAACACTATAATATGCATTCGTTTACATTACATACCAAATTTGAGCATACAAACACAATTTGCTTTTCTAGCAATGCACCCGCAAATATTGTCAACACCTGTAGATAAATAAAAGAACATTAAAACTTATAAATGTACAATGAAGATTTTAATAAATTAATATATATACATGTTCAAGACGCAAGGAGCCACACAAGCATGCAATTGCCCAAACTGATAAAGCAGTTGCTTCTTCTTCCACTGCAAGTGCACTGTGAGCCTATTATAATAATACATCATCAAAATCTTGATTATTTATATATATATATATATATATATATATATATATATATATATATATATATACTAAAACAGCAGCAAATAAATGTATTAAACAAAAAACCTCTGCTAATTCAAAACTTGTGGTGCATGACATCAAATCAATAGTTGAGCCTGCAATGTGTAAGATTGTTTCATCTGGTCTATAAAATTCCAAAGGATGAAGATGATCCAGAGGATGGAATGTAACTGTTGAGCCTCTTGTAGGGAGGTGTAATCGGTAATATTCACATATTATTTGTAAGGATCCATGATTATTTTCCTGCATGTATTATTATATATCCCTTGTCACAATAAGTAATCAGTAATAGGATTCCATGTATATCTCGTTTGGACTCTAAGAGAATCCTTATGCCACAAAATGTAACACGGAAAAGAGAATCTTTAACAAGAGGTCAACAGGAAAGTCAAAGAAGAAAAGACCTTGGCCCAATCAAGAATCTCATCATGTTCGCTATCTTCTTGGCTAGAGAAAGATGTTTCCTCCATTTCTGCTGAATCAAGCTCACTCCTGAAGTTTCTATCTTCGCTAGGTGACCCTTGTAAACTGCATTAATTAAGTTTAATGTATTAAAACAATATTTCTTGTATATTCCAAATATCAACAATTTATAAAATACCTTGAGGAAGAGTCTGAGCTATCATATTGCTGATAACGAAGAAGTGGCAAAATTGCATTTGGTATCTGCTTTTGAGATGGCTGATCATTGTTAACTATATCATAAACAGATGCATCACAAACCTCAGAAACTGCTACAGCCTTATCATCATCTGTAACTAGGGTTTCAGTGATAGAATTATGTAGAGTCTCTCTGTTTCCATTCAGCAATAACTTATCTCCATGTTCAGCTGAAATCCCACTTGTTTCGTCTTCTTCTGAATATACTTTATTGTCATGCTCATGCACATCACAAGACTCAAGATCTAAGCCACTGATACTTTCTCTCAACCTCTCCAACCTTTCTTCAGTGGAAATGCTAAAAAAAACACATATAATGTTGATGATATCAATGGCCAAAATGAAGATCAAAAAATAGATTGCTGTTATTAGTTTATATAATATAAGAAACCTATTCAACACGCCAAAATGAAGATCAAAAAACGGAAGCCTTGAAAGAATGCAGTAACAGCGGCGAGTTGTTAAGATGCGTCGGCTGGAAGAAGGGCGAAATCGTCCATCTGACAAACTTGAAATTAATGTAGAAGGTTTTTGAACCAATTCATCAGCTACTAAACAGCAACCATAAAGAATCGAATCATCTGCTCCCTATGTAGTATTAAAACTCAGATTCAGAACCTAATAACAAAATCATCCCAAAACAAACCAAAAAAATTGAGAAAATAGTTAGAGTGAAGGGTGTGAATTACCTGCAACCTGAATACAAAGGAGAGGTCACTTTGTTTAAGGTGTTCCTGCAAAAAACATTAGCATGTTAACAAGCATTCAGCATAACAGAGTTAAAGGGTTCAAATGTTGATGAACCTGTCCAAGAAGTATTTCATTCAGTTCACTCATAGAAGGAGTTCTTTCAACAGCATTAACCTGCAATTACAAGTAAGCACATTCAAGAGTTAAGACATAAATCTTGATTAAGGTAAAATAAGAAACTACTGTTGCCAAATCAAACCTCCACTCCACCAGGAAAGCAGAATGAAAGGAGGTCCCTGTATTTTAATGGCAGCTGTTTATCCGGAGGGTATACAAACAGAACCTGAAAGGAATATATATATATATATATATATATATATATATATATATATATATATGTATATATAACTAAGTAGCATATTCTAGAAGAATGAAACAAAGTTAATATATTTGTATGGGGTAGAGGGCAAGACCTGAGGGTCAAGATTTTCTACAGTGGAAACTGGTTGATGTTGACCGTTGACTTCAGACTTTCTGCCAAAGTACTGCCTCTCAAGTGACTGAATATCACAGTCAGGGTGAAGTCCAACCACTACAAAGCTCTCAAACAGCCTTGATGGTTCTTTCAGTATCCTGCGATGCTGAAATTTTTTGAAATTATAAACACTCATGATGGAGAAGGATAACAATGTCAATAGTATATCAGAGTACACAACCAAAAGAATGAAAGATTTGTGAACAAAGAAAATACCAGGGCCTGTAATTGGAAGCTTGCCCATTGACGCTTTTGGGTAGTTAATACTTCTGGGTTGTAGCTTCTTTTCTCTTCAGTAGGATGAGATAAACCTTTCAGTACTTTGAAGACTTGATTCTGAAGCTTTTGGAGATGGCCACCACTGTCATCTTTTGATGAGTATAAAACTGATGGTCTTGAAGAAGGAGCAGCACTAGCTGCTGCTGCTGCAGCCATAAAAGCTCTGGTAACATCTTCAGTAGTCTGCATGAAGAATGAAGCGCCCCAACCTGGGCTATCTGACTCTTCATTCTTTTCCATCGATGTAATCAATCCCCCTTGTCAAATGGACAAGAATGAAGTATAAATCTGGAATTAAGTAAAAGGAACTTGTCAAAAAGAAATTTCTGATTGGAGAAGATCTGAAGAACATGGAAACAAAACCGCAGTAAGACACAGGGAGATTTCAAATCATGACTGACAACTATTCATGAAACTAGCCATTGATATACAAACTATTCAAGAATCCAAGAGTAAAAGTAAGGAAGAAAGCAGAGAGTGATGTCATGTAATTACTTTGCTCCAGAATTCTGGACTCACAAAACTTCACTCGAACTATCACCATTACTCCTCTTTTAACATAAATTTCACAAATTAAGAACTACCATTCTTCTTTTCTGTAAATTATTAACAAGATAGCGCCAAAACCTGGAAAGGGAGAACTAAAGGTAGAGTGAAAACTCGTATATTATTGTTGCCGCTTCAGAGTAATAAACCTTCCTCTAATTTAGTAGAAATTGCGAAGTTGCCCTTCGTGCAATAACTGATACATGAAAACGTAAAAACCCCAAATTTTACAAGAGACTTCCAGTAAAGTTTGACAGATAGATTTAAGTAACCTTACACATGTAGAAACATATGATACTTTTACGGGAAAAAAAAAAATCGCTTTCACGTCAATTAATATTAGTAAGATTTAAGCAAGAAATTTTGATTAGGAACGATGACGAAAACAAAAATTACTTTCAATCAACTACAAGGAACAAGTGGTACAGCACAAAAGAAGTTTGAACTAACGGAAAGAGGCGATGTATTTACGCAATCAAAAGACGCGATTACGCAGTACGCGAATAAACTCACCTGTAAATTCGGCTTGCTTATAGAAGATACATGTGTGAGTCTGAAGATGTGTATCTCTCTCTCTGTATTTCACACAGACAAAAGAGAAAGATGGTGGGATGAAGAGGACAGGACGGTTTCTTCAGGCGGCCATAACAAAGGGAGAGAATGAAGCTCTGGGTAACAGTCAGGAAAACGACGATCAAGAAGAAAACAAATTACGCTATAAAATCTGAAAATTAATTTAAAATTAATATTTTGGATACAATCTATACTCTATAGAATAAGTCTTTACTCAAGGGTGCATCATGCGTTTACGAAGAAAGGATAAACTATTCGTAAGTTGCAAAACCTGCAACAAGTTAACTCAAAAATTGCTAATTAGGTTCCTCTTTTTTTTTCATTAAAAAAACCCATCAAGCGTTACAAGAAAATTATAATATGAATAAAAATTAAAACAGGAGAACAACATGATGATTCCATTTAGACAAAGTAAGCGTCATCTGATAGTTAATAATTAGGTTAAACTTTAGACCAGGTCAGAGGCAAAACGGAACATCAAACATGGGGATTGAAGACCGAGTCCAAGGGAGGGGCTAATCTGAAGCTTAATGAAGAACAAACTAGGGGCGTGTTCAGTAAAAATACTTGATAGCGGGTAGTGTCAAACAAAGTTTTCTGTTCAAAATGGAGCGTATTGTCAAACGCTAGAAGTTATAACTGAGTCCAAGGGAGGGGCTAATTTGAAGCTTAATGAAGAACAAACTAAGGGCGTGTTCAGTAAAATTACTTGATAGCGGGTAGTGTCAAACAAAGCTTTATGTTCAAAATGGAGCGTATTGTCAAACGCTAGAAGTTATAACTGAGTCCAAGGGAGGGGCGAATTTGAAGCTTAATGAAGAACAAACTAGGGCGTGTTCAGTAAAATTACTTGATAGTGGGTAGTGTCAAACAAAGATTTCTGTTCAAAATGGAGCGTATTGTCAAACGCTAGAAGTTATAAGCTCTCAAACGTTCCCATATCTTTTGTGTCGAACATGCCCTAGGTCTGATGGCTTTGAAGTAGGGATTCGGTCCAATGTAAAGTGAAGGACTCGGTTCAAAGTAGGGATCGATTCAGAAGAAAACAACCAAAACAAACACATTGATTGGGAAGTTAGGATCGAGTCCTAGCTTCGGACCCAAGTAGAAGGCAAATCAAACGTCCCCTAAGTCTAGTTATATGTGTTGGGTTTTTTTTTCAAAAAATAATCCAATTTTATTCACAAAACTAACGTAATTAACAATGGAAGTATTTTATAATTTAAATAAACTAAAATCATTTTAACCCACCAATGATCATTTTGTAAAACTTAGAAAAGTTAAAGCATAACCAAGAGAAAGAACAAATTTACAACCTTTGAAGATTTTTGTTCATTTTGGTAATTAGGAAGTTGATGAAGATGACATTAAAACTTCAAGAATAAGTTATCTATAATCATCTTTAATAAATGAATGTTTTTTTTACCAAATATCAATCTCTAATGAGTTTTGACACCTATCATGTAACATCCGGGATTGGCAGGTATTAATATTATTTATTTTATTGAATAATGGGTTGTTGTTGGTTGGATCAAGATAGTTGGGCCTTAAGCTTTGGGCCGTGAAAGGCATTACACGGGGGTACCATGCCAGGTATGCGCAACATACTCAAAAGGATGGGGAAGGTGTAACGCCTGTGTTTCTGGGCCTGTCATTAATGATGATATAATAGTCTAGGTTAACCTTTGTAACCTGTTTTGAAATAATAGAAGTATATTATTTGAGTATTATGTGTTTTGTGTTTAATTGCTTAATTATGTGGTTTGATTAATTAAGAATAAAAATAAGCGTCAAAATTTAAGTGTAAAATAAACTTGATATCTTTGGATAATGTTGTAGTAGTTGAAACGAGGTTCCGAAGATATAAAGAATGCCGAAATCCGAGTTATAACGAAGAAGTTATGACCTATCGAAGTTTCACGACAGAACCGACAACGCTGAATGACGTAAAAAGTGAAATTTACGTTAGAGCGATATTTAGCCTTAGTGATCTACACGAGAATCGAAGATCTCGTTGTTAGTATCGAAGCGATAAAAAGTTAGGCGAGAACGGACGTCAAACGAAGAAGTTATGAATTTATAACGAAATTTTCTGTCCCAGCCTATTAAAAATAAATTCAAAATTAGCCGACAGAGTCTAAATGAAAGTTGTAGAGCGTAGTCTCACCTTCGCGTGGATATAAAGAACGTCGAAAACGGAGTTCGTATGAAGAAGATATGAATTTTAAAAGTCTATTAAATAATTAATAATTAAATTTAATTATTAAATCCGACATTATCCGAAGAGGAGTCACTGGACTCATCCGAAGTACGCCCCGCGTACCCAAGGTATGTCGACACTCGCACTCAAGGACTTCGGATGACGCATGCAGTGATGTTTCGAAGGCAGTACGCGACGCCCCGCGTACTCCGAGGCTCCAGCCTCCTATAAATAGGATGCGAGGGCAGCCGGCTAAATTGCTATTTTTCTCCCTTCTCTCTCCCGTTTTGCATCGATTTGCGTGCCAGAAATACCTCGAAGCCCCTGTATTATTCTCGAGCCCCGAAGCAAGTCCCGAGATCCTGAAGATCCCGAGAAGTGAGGTTTCCGAGCCGAAGCTCTGCCCGCGAGAAGTTCGATTTTTGTGAAGATCTTCCAGATCTGCTGAGGATTACTACTTCTACGAGCCGTAGTGCTGTCCGATCATCTTCTGATCAAGTGAGTGTATACTACCTTTCATAAACACGATAATAATACAAGTATGGTTTGAGTATATTAAGTATATTGTTGTTTATATGTGTGAGTGTGTGGTTACTTTCTTCTAACGCATAATTATGAAGTATTTTATACGAAATACGTGTTATGTGTATATTTTGTTGTTATGTGTGTGAATGTATATTCACTTTCTTCTATCTTATAGATCTGATTATTTCTCTATGAAATACATGTTATGTGTGTGTGCCTCATCTGTTATGTGGAAAATGTATTGATTGAGCATGTTATACAGGTTTTGAAACTATGTATAAAAATGTATGTTTTATCTACTAATATGTTGGGCAGAACATGGGTAGATAGTTGGTGTGTAATAAACAGATGAGAGGCCTCGATGTTGTTTTGATCCAGTCATCTAGCGGAATTTAGATGACGACCACAGACTTTTCTAGACAGTCCAGTGGAACGCTAGTAGGCTCATAACCTGTAGGTGTTAATGAACTTGGGTGTTCATTCGATGTATTTCATCCCCCTCATGGTTGCCTTATTTGACTTATATTGTTGAGGAACCCCCGAAGCATGTGTTGTCACCCCGATGAAATATTCTTAGACTAGGTCCCTTGTGTTAGTTATTTTAGGTACATAAAGTGAGAATAACGGGAATGAGTAATTGGGTTATTGTTGGTTGATGAAAATTAATTTAATTATTTATTGTGGGTTGAAAACCCTATATGCTTACCAGGCTCCCAAGCCTAACCCACTCAGTTTTATTTGTATTACATGAAGTGGCGCGAGGGCGTAAGATGGATGAACCATCAAGTTGTTTTGTTTACAAGTCTGTATATGTATATATTTGTTGAATGACTTGTAATGTTATCGTTTATGCTTATTGGTCTGTATCGGAACATGACACCCCGAGTTTTGATTATATAATGAAAATACATTTCTTTTATGAAATGCTTTGGTAAACATTGTTTTATCATGTTTTGTTTTTGGGAAAAAATTCCGCAACTCTTTCAAATCAAAAGGATTTACTCTGAAATTATTTAAAAAGCATAAATGAAAATCGGTCTTTTCTGGCTGAGATTTTGGGGATGCCACAGAAGGCCATGCACGTACGTCCAGCATACCAAAGGGTACGCGCAGCGTACGCACGCAGGTCGTAAAACCCTAACTTTTAGGGTTTGATCCCTATTTAAAGGACCGTATGCCTTTGGTCCAGCCTCCTTCTCACCCTTATATAGCCTCCAAGAAAACCCTAACCCCTGTTTGTGTTTCTTTGTGATTTAGAAGCCATTTGAGAGTGCCTTGGTGTAGTTTTGGTGCTTTGGAAGAGAAAGGAGCTTGAATAAGAAGCAAGGATCCACCAAGAGCTTGTAGATCTAGGAGATTGGCATCATTTCTTACTCTTTCGAGGTATCAAGTTCCATACTTGGCCATTGTATGCTTAAATTTGTTTATGGGGGTGTTTAAGGTTACTTTTAGACTCCATTGTTGAGGCTTCTCGCATCTTTATGATTTCAGACCATAATAGTTGTCCTTTTGGGCTCTTAGAGGCACTAAGATTCATAAAAATCGGACCTTGATGGTTAAGCCACAACCATGCAAGTGTTAGTTGGTCTTAAAGATTGTTAAAAGGACCAAAATCATGTTTTTGACCCCAACCATGCATGCAAGCACATAAAGTTTGTGACTTTATGGTTTAGGAGGTCTTAAAGGACTTGGATCTACATTTTGGACATAAAGACTTAACGGATTAAGTCACAAATGATGTCCCAAGAAAGTTGGCCAGTATACTAAGCGTACACCCTGGTACACTACGCGTACTAGGTCAACTCCCCGTTTTGGTCAAGGCCAGCGTACGCTGGGCGTACATGCCAGCTATGTCGCGCGTACGCATGCAAACTAGCTATATTTGGCTTTTAGGCCTTAAGGGAATGGGTCTGGACGGTTGGACCCCGTGGCTCACTATAGAGTATAGTTTTGGGCCTGGGAATTTGTAATTAGAAGCATTGGGCCTTTTGGGCCATATTAGGTCACTCAAGATTATTTCATTTTGGGCTAAGGACTTATGAGAATTATGAAAAAGGCTCGTTTGAAGGGTTGGGCCCAGTTTAGAAAATTGGGCCATTAGTAGGCCCGTAGGGAGCCTTGATGGGCCATAGGTGCATTGGATTTAATAAGTTAGAATTGGACCTTAAGAATATTTTAAGTTATGCCAAGGGGTAAAATAGTCATGTTACCCTAAGTAATGTTATAAATTCGGATTGAGTGTTATTATGATTACGGTAGCCAGGAGTCATCAGAGCAACTGTTAGAGATTTCTTTCCATGAGATTCGACACTCAGCTTTATGAGGTGAGTTACCTTCCAGTAGAAGTGGGGTCGAAAGCACCAATGTTGGCCCACTAGTAGTAGTTGATTATAGTAGAGATGATTGTATTTGTGATAATTGTCTGGGTTTGCTACCACCTGATATGTATATGTGCTAGTATGATACGTTATATGTGATAGTGGTAGTAGGAGGGGAATAGTCCCCAAGTTCGGTTGTTAGGACCGATAGGTAGGTCGGGCACCCCAAATATGTCTGAAATTATGTTATGTTATGTTTTGTGTGGTAGTAGTAGGGGGTGAAACAGTCCCCGGAACTGGTTGGAATAGACTGGAGGGTAGGTCAGCACCCAAGAACTGTTTGACATGGGTAGGTTGGGCACCCCAAAATCACTTGGCAGGGTAGGTCAACACCCTATAACTGCTTGACATGGGTAGGTCGGGCACCCCATAATTGCCTGACAGT